TTCAGCGCTGCAGTTCTTTGACTGATTAGGAAAAATTAAAGAAAATTTTGAAAAAAAAAAAAAGTATTTTTTTACATTATGTTAGGAAACATTTATTATTACCCAGTTTTTTGGTAAAATATAAAATTAATTAAGAAAAGTGAAAACAAACCCTAATTTGCTGTATACTGCTACAACAGATTTAGTCTACATAAAACCGCATGTAATCATACAATTATAAATGGTAAACTGCATTTTTTTACAGTAAAAAGTTACTTTATTTGCCTTAGGGCCTCATATAAAGTTTTAAAACAGATAAATCATACAGACAATCAGAGCAGCACCCTCTAATTCTCCATTTCTTAAGGGCTCACTGAATATAAATTGCAAATACAATAACAAAATACAAATTGTTGCAAGGTATTGAGAATTATAAAAATGTACGTAAGATGGACTACATATTGTCCGCCATCATGCTATTAAAGATGGGCATCCAATGGCTCACATATCTCTCTTCACACAATGTTTTTATTTATAGACTGCTTATTACAAATCTATCCAAAGCTGCTTTGTTATGAATGGACAACCTTTACTTTCATGTTGGGCATTGTTTACAAGTTGTTCATTTTTGTGGCTCGTCCGTGATATACATTTAGTTCACTATTTGCAAACTAGATGACAGCAATGGCTCCTATAAATGAGTCCTTCTGATTTCAAGAGACTGATTCTATCTGCAAACTGCAGAGTTGTCACCCAGGGACCAGCTTTGTATAAGTGTTATATTTTACCTTGATACAATTTTTATGTGTTATAATAAGTATATTCAGTGGGCTACTAAAAAATTGAGAATTGGCTCTCATTTCCGAGGTGATTCAATGGAGGTGATTTACTAACCTAAACACACGCACGCACCAGGTGCGTGTGATTTTTACACAGCAAAGCGTATTTATTAACCAAAAAGTCTCTCAAAGCATATTTCCACTAATGCCATATATGGAAAAATCATGCACATGATGCATATATAATGCTGCTTCACAGTTTAGACAAAAATGGTTAGCTCATGCATTTACATTCCTGCATTCATCAACGCAAGCAACACAACATAGAGCTAATTTACACAACATCACCTTGCAAATTCATGCTTGGCTTTGCACAACACACCTGCTGGGTGTGTACACACTACAAAGGTGTTTAGATTCCACCCATAGATCATGCTGGGAGGGAACACACTACAGAGGTGTATACATGTTCGTGGCGTGTTTATAAGGTTAGTAAATCAACCCCAATGTTTCTCTTTATGTTCATTGTTTTTAAGGCTTTTTATGAGCTCCTAGGAGCAAATAAAATACCAGAAAGAATGCAGGTTTTCCACTTATGGCTATATGATTAAACACATTTTTACATATTAATATTCTTAGAGGTCTGTTGCAGTCACATAAATAAGGATTTTGTTTATGTATTATACTTCCAACAGTACCAAGAAACCACAGGAACCTAGAAGCCCAGGCTGAAATAGTGGGTTTGTTGTGACTTACTATTGTTAAGTGAAAATGGAAACAGAGGTGATCCCAGTAATGAACCCAATTTTCCAAAGCCAAAATTTAGCCCACAGTGTATATATAATGCAAAGCAGAAAATCTAATTGATGGCACTGGGCAAAAGCTCAGTTTTTTTGCTACCAGACCACTACAGAAGAGAAAAATGTCCTCATTCAAGGTGAGATCTGGGTGAGGAAGGTAGGAAATGTGTCCTATTTGATGGGATTAGGATCACAGTTGGGATCACTGACACAATTAATGTATAAGTCCTAGGCATTGGCACATTTCATGAATATAGGCATTTGAATACTGAATAGGAATGTTAATGCTTGCAGTAAGGGACATAGATATAAGTCACTGGGTACATTGACCCATTTAATTGGGAGCAATGGTTCATGTAACTAATTGGGGGTATTGCCACATCTAATTAAGTGCGTCATTAAGTACTGATATGTAACTCTGGTATTGACCTATTTAAATACAGGGATGGCAGCTAATTAAATAATTAGGGCAAAAAGAAAGATTGGTGGATTTGAAGCATTAATAGATAGCTTTTATCATGATTAGGGCATTGCGACACTTTATTGGATAATTCAGCATTTTATTAATTTTATTAGAACTATAAAGTGACTATTGAAATTCTGGTAACTTACAATCAGTTAAGTCAAATTTTGTTATGATACGCTCTGCAATATATCAACATGAAAAGCATTCTCCCAGGTTCATGACCTTACAATAAAAGATCTCAGGAGGTAGTTTTCATATATTATAGCTTGATGGTAGTATTGTTCAACTTCTACATTTGTTTGCTGGGCTTAAACTGAAAATACTTGCCTGAACTTCCACTTGTACCACATAGCAGACACTCTGGGTACCTGCACATCAATCTAATTTTCAGATTCAGTAACCTAGGACTTCTGAATCAAAGTGTGCTCAGGAATGTAAATGTCAACCCAGGAAAGACCTGACCCTACCCCTTCCACTTCTTAAGCCCCTCTGTCCAATAGGGCCATCCATTATAATGGTGGGCCAATAATAAGGCTTACAAGGTAGAAATGAGTAGCAACAGGCTTCCAACCCAGGGATCTGGGTTGATATTTTGCATAAACTTTATAGCGTGACCTAAGATTTGGGGCCCTATTATAATGAAGAGGAAAACTAAGCAGACGTGCCACTGACCTATGGACAACATATCAACACAGTGGTTGGCTGTGAGTAAACGTGTTCCGAATTTAGAATATTACTGTAAATAAGCATCAGTGAGAGCATAGTGTATTTTTTTACTCTGGTCACTTTAAAGGTTCTCTACCAACAGTGACCAGCTTCAATAAACACTGGTTCTGGCCCACTGGCTGGCTTTGGAAGGTAAATATCAGTTCAGTGAGTAAAGAGAGTTGTTTTATAAATATACACACACATTACTCTTCCTGAGAAGGCCTTGAATTGTTTACTGTTTGATGTAGGACTTGAGGCTATGAATAATAAAATTAGTTATTTGATTTGGCTGGATGCATTTAAATCTTTACACCAAATGTAATATATTTTATTCAGTCAGTTGCTGTGTTATTATAAAATGTACAGTTTCCTTGCAGATGAAAAGGCAAACTATGAACAAAACAAATATGGATTCCTGCTTTGCAGACAGTTTATCAGAATCAGACTCAGAGCTTTCAATATATTGGGTGAAATTCATAAAAAACAGGAGCAGACAGAATCTGGAGCAGTTGTCCATGGCAACTAATCAGTTTTAACCGATTGCAGACTGTCCACTGTATTAAAACAGCTGGTCCACTGGCACATTGTTCCGGCAAGACGTACCTGTCATTAGACAGCGGAGAACAGTGGCTCTAGACATAGAGCCAATCGGACTGGGTCTGTGTCCTGTGACAATTGGACACCAGCACTGTGCCCAATGTTTACATTGCCAAGCCCTCCCCTTACATCAGGGGCAGAGGAGAGTAATGCGAGTAATAAATGGATGAGTCATCCATTCATTATTTACTAAATTAAAAACAAGCTGCATCAGCAAAAAAAATATTTTTTTTTAAACCCTTTCACCCCCACCTCCTCTCCTATATGTGTTAGTTCCATTCAATCTCTGCTCTGGTGTGTGTGGATTACCCCTTCATCTCCCTATCCTGCACATCTATACATTAACCCCTTCATCTAAATCCTCCAAATGTAATTGGCCTGTAAATTAACCCCTTCACCTCACTCTGTGTATGACCTATACATTTATTATATCTAGTGCACTATTACCAAGTTCCATGTTTTATCCCCCTCAATACCGGCATGCCTCTTAATGTCCAAAAATGACAGCAAAAAATCAGATCACCTTGGAGTGTCTACTTTCCAAAAAGGGGTAATTTTAGGGATTTTCAGACTGTCCTGAATTTTTTATTATCTATGATTTATAAACAAAAGTAAGAGAAAACAGGCTTTTTAGTAAAATGTTTTGGTCTTTTACTTTATATAGTAACATTTTTTAAAATAATAATGGTTATTAAATATCACTAAAAGATAGCTCTATTTGTCCCCACAAAATTATATAAAATTAATTTTGTGACAATGTTGCGTGATGGAGAAATTCTCAGCTAAACTTGTACAGTGATGAAAAATTTTAAATGGCCTGGTAATGAAGAGGGTGTAACATGCAGGTACTGAAGTGGTTAAAAAGCAGAGCAATGAATATAAAACCATGAAGCACATCAAAATACATGGAGGTTGCCTAATAAGCAATAATACACAAAGGTAGCAATACAGTTCAACTGAGGCCAAAACTTTTTTTTGTTTTGGATAGAGAGAGGAGGGATTAGAACACTTGTCAGGTTTTTCTGTCCCAGTTAGGAAGATTCACCCTCTCTATGTGTCCTGGTTACTGTTATCACTGAAAGCTAAAGTAAAAGAAAATCCAAAACTTTGGGTTGTCACCAGAACAGTAATAGATGGGAGATCTTCCAAAGGGGACACTAGTTTTGGTGACCATGATGACCATCATTGATTTCCCTCTCTTTGGAGGTATTTCCTCTGACTTTCTGCCAACAGACAGGAAGTGAAGATAAATCTCCACTGTGGGACACAGCAAAAAAAGCGGACAGGGGTTATAACCCTCCTTTACTCTATCCAAAACTAAAACAAAAATTAAAAAATGTAAGTAAAAAAGAGTAAATTCATTTTATATGTCCTATGTTCTATTTGTGTAAAGTTTTTACATATAACACGCTTTAAGGCTTAATCAACCAATTTTTTTTTACATCTGTGAAATTTGAATGGGTCCTGAACAAACAGGATTTACTAAGTCTTGCTACAACATATATGCCAGTCTATTGTAGCTCATGAAGCTTTACTGAGAGCCATGATTATATAACAAATTATTGCCAAGTTATGATAATTACAGAAATAACATATAAGGGATATACTATTGATATAGTTATCTTTTGTAACAGAACAGTTTTGTAATATTCAATAATTTAAAAAACTGACCTCACGGGCTGCTTTTTTTACAAAGCTTTCATCTGTGATGCGGAATGCTTGACACAAGGCTTCTGCTGGGTCCTGAGGGAATACCTCTTGACGTACTAAATTTACATGTAGGTGGAGAGAGGCGTAGATGGCAGCGTCTACTCCTCCATGTCCATCAAACACAGCAAAGTAAGCTTGCTCCTCTTGGTCCTGGAAATTAAGAGAAGGACATTATGTAAGTAGAACATCCAAAGTTTCTGTATGGCTTTGCTCCTGTATTGGGTGTCCAACATTTTTAACTTTATCAGAGATTACATGCATTTAGTGTGTTCTGTTTATACTAGTAAATGCTATAAGAGGGCCAATCTGTTCAAAACGAACATTTCAGTGTTTTCTAAATGCCAGCGTATTATTATTATTATTAGGGACAAAAGACAGAACTTTGCTCCACGTTTTGAATTCTGCTTACTTATCATGACAATTGGGAAAGGTACCACTCTAGATTTTTAGATTTTATAATATTAAATGATGCTCTAAAAAGGAGCCAAAACTTATTTATTTTATTTTTTTTAACAAGAAGTGAGACTCCAAGATGGGCAGAAATAGATCCAGGTACTTTGGTGGGGAAATTATACCTTCAAGAGATACAAAAAAAAAATATGTAGTCAGTGACTACTTGCCAAAACGCAACTATGACTAAAATATCAGTTTAAGGTCAACTAACCATTGTTTTATAGATTATGCAAGGTTGGTATACATCTATTCATCAGCATTGTTCATTTCCATTACATACAGAAGGAAAAATATAATTTCTTCAAAGGATCCATCCACTCAAATGTGATATTTAAATTACTTGGAGTCTTGAGGCCGAGACATGAGATCTTCCCAAGAACCCACTGAGTGCTAGTGTTAGATTTTAGTGTACATATGACATATGAAACAAATATGTTGGTCACACCAAGACCAATAGTAATAACTATTTACAAAGTAATTACTAACACTAAAATCTATCCTAAACTCCTGTGAATAAAGAGAAGTAAAAAAATAGATGCTGTTGAGCTGACTTACAAAAGAAGCGGAGAATCTTCCCTCAAAAAATTGTGTGAATATTCACTTTAATTATCCAATCATGTGAAAAGCACCTGCAAAGTATTCAAAGTGCATTTGCATTTTACATGATTGGATAAGTCCTTATATGTCTGTCCACGCATTCTCATTGTGGCTTGAAGACCACATAAATTCATATACCATTATTTATTCCTAGTCTAGAACAGTAATAAGAGACACCAGCATATAAAATAACAGTATGAACACTTCTAGCTAGTAGTAGTTAGTCGCATTCAACTGGTCTTATGTTGTAATGTTGCACACATGGTTTAAAGATTAGAACTTCAGAAATACAAGCTTTTAGTGAACATAAACTCAGTGGAAAAAAACATCAAGTTTACATGGGAAGAGGCACAGAATAACAAAATTACCCTTTTTGGACTATGTGTTACATGCTATGACTTGGACATTAAGGTCTACAGGAAACCTGCCCACACCAACCAGTGTCTGCTTTTTTCACTCCCATCACACACTTCAAAAAAAAAAAACTGGGTACCATTACAACTTGAACACTGGGCTGAGATGGTTACAAGAAATAGTGTCAAAAGACAAAAAACACAGACATTTTAGGAGTGCTTTGAAAGTTTGTGACTACCCAGGCTGGCTTTTCTTTAAAATATCCACAAGGCCAAGCAAAAACACAGGGCCATCAAACAGGAGGGAGAAAGAGAACACAATCATCCTGTATGTAGCTGGAGTGACAGAATAACTCAGAAGGATCTTTACCAATCATTGCATCCATGTGTCTTCCAAGCCCTGGAATACACTGTACAGGAGACAGAAGCTTGTACACACAAAAAACAAACAAAAAAACACCCAGACACAAGAGAAGTAACTTGGTATATGAAGTAAATGTGTTGTGAAAAATGTGAAGACCTGTACATTGGGGGAGACAAAACAGCCTCTCAGCAAACAAATGGCATACCACAGGAAGACAAATTATATAGGTCAAGGCTCACCAATCCTTCCATTCCTTAAGAAAAGGGGACATTCTTTCAAGGACAGTGAGTTACACATTTTGGACAGAGAGGACAATTGGTTCAAATTAGGTAGAAAGAGATAATCTACCTCAAACTGAAACAACTATCCCTAAACTTGGGTGGGGGCCCCTCGACATCCTCTGTCTTCCACATATAATGCCATCTTAGCATCTCTACCCAGACAACTTGAAAATTCAAACCTTCAGCCATGTAAATTGAAGAATCAACACCTATGCAGATTTTCTGACACCAAAGGTTTTATGTATTGCAACTAAAACCGGGTGGTTCCACAACTTTCATACCTCCCATCCTGTTCGTGGACAAACATCATCTGCCTTGACACATTTCATGATAACTGGATTAAGGTTACTGACCTACTGGTGTGGATATAAATGCTGGGGATCCTGATACAAATGTTCCTGGCACTCATTAGAACTGGAGAGGTAGTTTGAATAAGCTACGAAACGTCTTAAACAATACAGAACAAGTCCGTTTGAATGTGACCAACTACTACTACAGTAGTTATACTATAACCTGGATAAATGAGAACCTTCACCGGCAAGAGGAATACTTGCTCCATATTGTGCGCATGTGTGTTACTTTATCATTTGTGTGATTATATATAGGCATATGGGATCCTGGTAACACATTTCAAATGTGTCCAAATGTTTGGGTAGTTTTTATGTGGTTATACATTTTTATTATGGAATTATAGTGTAAATAAAATCTATTAATAGTTGGGGAAAATGTGGACATCCATTGTAAAAGCAATACATTTAACAACAAAAAGCGATCTCACAAATGGTATCAAATAGAGTGATGTTTATATTGAGGCATATCAAGAAATGCTCAGATTAGGTTCAACCAAAAGACATGTAATAAATACAGGCGAGCTTCTCATTTTCTTTTTTCCATTATTACTAACCACATTTTAGGTCACTTTCCAGAATCTAGCAATATGTGAACAAATCCACATTAGATGCTAGAAATCAGTATTCAACTCTTCACATTTGGGGATATGGATTCTTTAAGAAGGCAAGCTTTTAAGCTCTAATAATACTTGTTGTACTAAAGAAAGTTTAGTTAGCTAATTGATGGAAGTTACAGCAAAGTAGGTAAGAGAAAAGCATCTTCCTAGACAACATTGTTTGGCTATTTAACGTAATACTTTATAAATTGATATCACAAAATTATTTTGGGATTTTAGAGAGGAATCAATATCACCCGATATTTTATAATTCATAAATCAGATGTGCACAGAGGAGCAGATGTCACCATTGTAATTTGAATAGGCAGCTCGGGCCTAAAGTAGGGTATACAGGGGTAGTTTTTTGCACGAACATTCATACGAAAAATACAGTCGGCAGGTTCGTTACTGGCATCAGAAACTGTTAGAAATTTTGTTTAATTTTCACTTTTATTTAACAATTCTTTGGGAATGAATGGAGATTCTGAATAAAAACCACACTCAGTTAGAAGATTTTATTATACTAATTGACCCATATTTAATTAATATGAAATTCTAACCTATTCTATGTATATCCCATTTATTTCGCACCCAGCCACTAAATGGCTATTGCCAGGCTTTCGGTCAGATAATACTGGACATCTGTGGACCCTCCGACTACAAACCACAGCAGGAGACAAGATATCTCTAGGCAGGTAGGGTGACACCTCATGAGGTGATTGGCCAAATGACTAGAGCTCCTCTTACATCCGTATCCCAATAAATTAGGGAGCTGTAATTAAGAACTTGGTATTTGTCTGGGAGAGTGTATTTAAGGAAAAGGCATTTACCATTTTATTTTTGGTCATTAGCCTACAATCTTTGTATGTAATTTTCTTTCTTTGTAATTTTGTAAATATTTCCTATGCACTGCCCACATAAGGATAATAAAGTATAAAATGAATAAGTGGTCTTCTGTGTACTAAACTACGAATTAATACTCTGAGAGAGATTGGTTATTGTTACTAGTGTCTGTACGCTCGGTTGTAAGCACACTGTTAATCTGCATGAAATTGCATCATGTAATTGTAGATTGCCTGCAGATTAGGGTCAACATGTATAAATTAGCAGATCTGCCAGACAGAGATCTATGCGTGTATTGTTTCCTAGCAGACCAGTCAACTGACAAACTGAAGTTGGTGGCAGACTACTGTGAGTCGTGTGTGAAAGTGGTAGCACAAGGAGTCCACCTTGTAGGATAGCTTGAGAAATCGCAGAAGTGTGCGTTAATAACTTAAATCACTTGGCTGCTGCACATACCTTAGTGTGCACCAGATTGCTTGTAAGATTTGTATCTGTGTGTGTTCAGTAAGCTAACTTTGGGGGAGTTGTCGCCCTCCAGTGGCAGGCAGTGGTTTTCACAGAAGTGTTTCATCAACCCAAAGTAAGGCCCTCCTCTGCCAAACAAGGACCCCGCTCCGGTTAGCAAATCGCCGCGGGTGGGCTATCCTTCTGTGACAAATTTCAGAACCTGTAACACCAGTATCATCATGAAATCCAGTAATGTAACTAAAGGGGAAGATAGTGAGGGGATTTTAGAGAAAGCCTAAAAAACACACTGCCGATCGAATAACTACAACTATACTAACAGTTTGTTAAAGTTCATTGAATTCACTACAACATTTATGCTAAAATGAAATGCTTTACACTTACGTTAGGTTATCTACTAAATTTCTGGCTACAGTTTCACAATTCACCATATTAATCTAAAGTGCCACTGAAAAGTAATAAACACATCTTTATTTGTCAGTGTCATTGGACACCCCTCCCACTACTCCTACTTACCTCTATATGCCATAACACCATAACACAGACGTCATACCATCAGATTCACCTGTTGCGGTTATCCCCTTCTCTTCTCTACTCATGGCCACCATACAACACTGTACTTGCAGAGGTCAGAATATGGGGCATCATCTTCCTATGCACTTTGCAGCAGGTAAGTGAGAGGGTAAGGGACCTGCAGCAAATCCCCACTTCAGGCAAAATGATCTGCTTACTATTTATGAATCATAGGCAGCATGTCTAGTTAGCTAGGCATATCTTGTACAGTAACAAGGTCTCGAACACAGCTGAGAGAGTATGCTATGTTGGAGAGACAGATGAAAAAGGGAGTT